TGGAGTTTGGGTGGGGTGGATGTATTGAGATTTGGAGTTTGGGTGGAGTGGATGTTTTGAGAGTGGAGTTTGGGTGGGATGGGTGTTGTGGGATGGGATTGGGTGGGGTGGATGTGAGATTTGGAGTTTGGGTGGATGGATGTTTGAGGTGGAGTTTGGGTGGGATGGGTGTTGTGAGGATGGAGTTTGGGTGGGGTGGATGTTTTGAGATTTGGAGTTTGGGTGGAGTGGATGTTTTGAGAGTGGAGTTTGGGTGGGGTGGGTGTTGTGAGGATGGAGTTTTGGATGGGGTGGGTGTTGTGAGGATGGAGTTTTGGGTGGGGTGGGTGTTGTGAGGATGGAGGTTGGGGTGTATTTGTGTGGTGAGAATTTGGTAAGGTTTGGAGGATGTTGTGATGACGGATTAAATTCTGTGAAAAATGGATATTATTTTGAAGGAATCAGTTGTACATCCAGTAATTGCAGTTTAGAATACACTGTGTAAACATTTTTAAGTTTTGACGATTAGAATACACAAAACCGTTGTTTCCTGTTGTTGGAAGCAGCTTTCTGATTCAGATGAGAGGTTTTTCTGACATGAGATGACTTCAGATCTAGGGTTAGTGACAGCAAGCACTCAGATCCAAGTTTATTGAAATTTGTTTTGATAATAGATAGTAACGGTATTTGAACTATACCAATAGCTCCCAACTAGCCAAACTCACAAAATATTTTTACCTTCACCTTGGTGTCTCTCCAAGGCTCTCACACAGTATGTGTATGTTGAGCAGGTGATACCTATGTATTACAGCCTGTAATAAGCAGTTCTGATGATATATGCTTCAGCTGCAAGGCTTCTGGCACAACATTATGAAGACAGATTACTTCATGGGTCTGGAGCGGGATGTGAGTGAGTTTGGATATATCACTCCATATGGTGACGGCAACCAGGGAGTCTACCTATCCAACAACTATAAGTAAGTTCCTACACCAACCTCCCCTACCTCTTCAACATCTACACCAACCTCCCTACCTCTTCAGCATCTACACCAACCTCCCTACCTCTTCAGCTTCTACACCAACCTCCCTACCTCTTCAACATCTACACCAACCTCCCTACCTCTTCAACATCTACACCAACCTCCCTACCTCTTCAGCATCTACACCAACCTCCCTACCTCTTCAGCTTCTACACCAACCTCCCTACCTCTTCAACATCTACACCAACCTCCCCTACCTCTTCAACATCTACACCAACCTCCCTACCTCTTCAACATCTGCACACCAACCTCCACTACCTCTTCAGCTTCTACACCAACCTCCCTACCTCTTCAGCTTCTACACCAACCTCCCTACCTCTTCAACATCTACACCAACCTCCCTACCTCTTCAACATCTGCACCAACCTCCCCAACCTCTTCAGCTTCTACACCAACCTCCCTACCTCTTCACCTCCCTACCTCTTCAGCTTCTACATCTACACCAACCTCCCTACCTCTTCAGCTTCTACACCAACCTCCTACTTCCTCTTCAGCTTCTACACCAACCTCCCTACCTCTTCAACATCTACACCAACCTCCCCTACCTCTTCAACATCTACACCAACCTCCTACCTCTTCACCTTCTTCAGCATCTACACCAACCTCCCTACCTCTTCAGCATCTACACCAACCTCCCCTACCTCTTCAGCATCTACACCAACCTCCCCTACCTCTTCAGCATCTACACCAACCTCCCCTACCTCTTCAGCATCTACACCAACCTCCTCTACTTCTTCAGCATCTACACCAACCTACCTACCTCTTCAGCATCTACACCAACCTCCCCTACCTCTTCAGCATCTACACCAACCTCCCCTACCTCTTCAGCATCTACACCAACCTTCCCTACCTCTTCAGCATCTACACCAACCTCCCCCTACTCTTCAGCACACCAACCTCCTCTACACTCTTCAGCATCTACACCAACCTCCCTACCTCTTCAGCATCTACACCAACCTCCCCACCTCTTCAGCATCTACACCAACCTCCCTACCTCTTCAGCATCTACACCAACCTCCCTACCTCTTCAGCATCTACACCAACCTCCCTACCTCTTCAACATCTACACCAACCTCCCTACCTCTTCAACATCTACACCAAGCCTCCCTACCTCTTCAGCCTACCTCCCTACCTCTTCAGCTTCTACACCAACCTCCCCAACCTCTTCAGCTTCTACACCAACCTCCCTACCTCTTCAGCATCTACACCAACCTCCCCTACCTCTTCAGCTTCTACACCAACCTCCCCTACCTCTTCAGCTCTACACCACCCTCCCTTCTACCTCTTCAGCACTATCTGCACCAACCTCCCCTACCTCTTCAGCTTCTACACCAACCCTCTTCCTTCTTCACCAGCCTCCCTACCTCTTTCACCTCCACTCCTCTTCAACATCCATCTACCTCCCCTACCTCTTCAGCTTCTACACCAACCCCACTACCTACCTCTCACCTGACCAACCCTCCCTACTTCAACACACCAACCTCCCTACCTCTTCAACATCTACACCAACCTCCCTTCTTTCAGCTTCTATCTGCCTCTTCACTTCTTCTGCTCTACACCAACCTCCCTCACCTCTTCAGCCTCCACACTTCAGCCTCCCCTACCTCTTCTTTATCTACACCACCTCCCTCCCCTACCTCTTCAGCATCTACACCAACCTCCACCTCTTCCAATCTACACCAACCTCCCTACCTCTTTCAACATCTACTGGCCTACCTACCTTCTTCCTACCCAACCTCCCCTTCTACAACATCTACACCAACCTCCATCTTCCTCTTCACATCTACACCAGCCTCCCCTACCTCTTCAACATCTACACCAACCTCCTACCTCCTCTTCAGCTTCTACACTCCCCCCTACCTCTTCAGCATCTACACCAACCTCCTACCTCTTCTTCATCTGCACTACCAACCTCCCTACCTCTTCAGCATCTACACCAACCTCCCCTACCTCTTCAGCTTCTACCTCTACTGCCTCCTCCCTCCTCATTCGGCTTCTACATCCAACCTCCCTACCTCTTCGGCTTCTACACCGCAACCTCCCTCCACTACATCTGCCTCCTTCCTACCTCTTCAAGCACCAGCCTCCCCTGCCTCTTCAGCATCTACTGCACCAACCTCCCTTCCTCTTCAACATCTACACCTTGCAGCCTCCACCTACCTCTTCAACATCTACACCAACCTCCACTACCTCTTCAACATCTACACCAACCTCCCTACCTCTTCAACATCTACACCAACCTCCACTACCTTCTTCCAGCATCTACCCATCCAGCATCCTCCTCCCAGCCTCCCACTCCCTCTTCCACATCTGCACCAGCCTCCACCTCTTCACCTCTTCAGCATCTACACCAAGCCTCCCCACCTCTTCAGCATCTACACCAGCCTCCACCTGCCTCTTCAGCCATCTCCCTACCTCATCAGCTTCTGCACCAACCTCCCTACCTTCAACATCTCACCAGCCTCCCCTCTTCGGCTTCTGCACCAGCTCCCCCTACCTCTTCAGCATCTACACCAGCCTCCCCTACCTCTTCAGCTTCTGCATACCAACCTCCCTACCTCCTCTTCAGCATCTACACCAGCCTCCCTAACCTCTTCTTAGGGTTTCCACACCAGCCTCCCTACCTCTTCAGCATCTACATGACACCAACCTCCCCTTCAGCATCTTCGCCTCCACTGCCTCTTCTGTCACCAGCCTCCCCTGCATCTTCAAGCATCTGCACCCAGCCTCCCTGCCTCTTCTGCATCTAGCATGCCAACCTCCACCACTTCAGCATCTGCCCAACCTCCCTACCTCTTCGTGCATCTACACCAACCTCCCTACCTCTTCATAGCATCTACACCAACCTCCACTGTTGTTCGTGCATCTACGTTCCAGCCTCTCCACTCTTCAACAACCACACCAACCTCCCAGACCCTTCATGCTTCTACACCAACCTCCGGACCTCCTGATTCAACATCTGGGTACCAACCTCACTGCTTGTCTTCGGCATCTACACCAACCTCCTCACCCCTTCATCTTCATACACCCTGTCCCAACCTCTTCAAGCATCTAATCCAACCTCCCTTAGCCTGGTTCAAAGCATCTGCACCAACCTCCCTGAGACTTCAAGCTTCTGCACCAACCTCCGGCTACCTTCTTCAGCATCTGTGACCAACCTCCCTACCTCTTCAACATCTACACCAACCTCTCCCTGCCTCCAAATCAACATCTACTTAACAAACAGAAAATGTACCTACTTCTTCCTTGGTTTCTGTTGCTAGGGAAAATGAAGGTTCTGTTCCTGGATGACGTAGCGGCTGTGTTTTATTACTGCCTTCAGTCCAAGGAAGATGGGACATGCAGCGATGGCTTCAGTTCATTTGAAATATTATCCCATGAAACATCCCTCCCTGCTGAGAAGCTGGACAGGCTTAAGAAGCGTGCTGGTGATGTCTGTCTCAAAGTTGTTGACCGAGTTTGGCCTCCATGTGAGTAGGTCTTCACAGTTTATATAATGTCTTTGGAATAACAGTTTGTCTTCAACCTCAAGAGTTAAGCATTGACATGTGACAGTTGTAACCCCATACTTTAGCATAGACTTGTGACAATTGTAACTTCATATTTAAGCAGTTGTTGACATGTGACAGTTGTAACCCCATACTTTAGCATAGACTTGTGACAATTGTAACCTCATATTTTAGCGTAGACTTGTGACAATTGTAACCCCATACTTTAGCATAGACTTGTGACAATTGTAACCTCTTATTTTAGCATAGACTTGTGACAGTTGTAACCCCATACTTTAGCTTAGACTGATGACAGTTGTAACCCCACACTGTAGCATAGACTTATGACAATTGTAACCTCATATTTTAGCATAGGCGTGTGACAATTGTAACCTCACACTTTAACTTAGACTTATGACAATTGTAACTTGTACCCTTTACACCAAAGCGTCATTGACCCTAATTTTGCCATTGTTCCAGCTCCATGCACCATCCCTGTAGAGCTCCAACAGGCAGGGAGCAGTGGAGAGCTCACACAAGGTCAGTCCCAGACTCCCTTACAAATACTTCAAGATCACAGTAGATTGTCCGCGTCAGCAACTGTAAACATCTGCTCAGATAACATTGGTTCTAGTCAATTGGCAGCTTGGCTTGTTTTTGCAATCAATCTTACAGCTGGATTTGCTCAAGAGGTTTTAAACTGATTTTCAAAATGGCAGTCACAACAGCCATGTTGAAAACTCATCAATAACCATTACTTGGCAGTTACAAATTGAGTAATTGTCAGAATCAGGATGACATTTTTATGCTTACCCAACAGAATGTCAAGAAAGCTTATGTTGTGCGAACTGGGATGAGTAATCACTTTTCACATCGGATGGGAAATATGTCTTTGAAACAAAAAGCAAATCGTCATTATTTCACAGGTTTGCTCACACTACATTCTCCAGTACCTGTGAGTACATGCAGTTGCTACATATGTTATATTTGGGATTACACTTTCTTAGTAAAGTACAGATTCTAGTACTTTTTGAGTTGAGTCCCATCTGGGATTTGAACCCACACCCTCAGTGTCAGGCACCTAATCGCCAGCACACAAAGTCAGACGTCTAGACCGCTCAGCCACCGCGGCTTCCATATAAATGAAAGTCGGACAACTGGTAGTCTAGACTGCGGACTTGTGTACCCCTCTGATAAGTGTTAATTGGCACGGCTCCCACAGCCGAAAGCTATTAAATACACAATGCCATTAAAACTTATCAGAGGGGTACACAATGTCCGCAGTCTAGACTACCAGTTGTCCAACTTCAATTTTTGTGGAAGCCACGGTGGCTGAGCGGTCTAGGTGCCTGACTCTGAGGGTGTGGGTTTGAATCCCGGATTGGACTCAACCCAAAAAGTACTAGAACCTGTACTTTACTAAGACAGTGTAATCCCAGATATAACATATGTTACATTTGACCACTTTCTAAAATGGCACTGTGTAGTTCATACAGTTGCTGTGCTCTGTGGTAGTAGTACTAGTCTGTTTTGGACCGAGGCATATCACCACCAGTGTATCATGATATGTTCTACTGTACGTTTGATTTCATCTGAGACCGATGAATTGCTCACTAACACAGAATCTAATAATTGGAACAAAACCAAATTTTGCACAGTGACGTGAAATCAACGGACCAATTCTGATGGTTTGTCTCATGATTTTGGACACTCGAATAAAAAGTTATCAATATTTTGTCGTCTCTTTTTGCTATTTTTTTTAACGAGGGGGACCACTTGCTGGTAGAATAGCCAAGTAATCAACAAGCATGTGTAGTGAAATTTTAATTTCTGTCGAAATCTGTTGCTTTCATGTGACTTTCCAAAATTTGGTTTTGTTCCAATCCAATTTATGTTAGTGAGCAATCCATCGGTCTCAGATGGTATAATGATATGTATCATGAGATGTATGATATCATGACCTTGCTCTAGTGTGTCTACCCTAGAACACAGTGCATAGAAGACTGAAGTCTTGGCAGTGTATTACCCGTGAAGGTTCGGGTAAGAATGAACCTTCAGTAACCCATGCTTGTCGTAAGAGGCGACTAACGGGATCGGGTGGTCAGGCTCGCTGACTTGGTTGACACATGTCATCGTATCCCAATTGCGTAGATCCATGCTCATGCTGTTGATCACTGCATTGTCTGGTCCAGACTCGATTATTTACAGACCGCCACCATATAGCTGGAATATTGCTGAGTGCGGCATAAAACTAAACTCACTCACTCACTCACTTGACAATGTATCAGTAATGGTATATATACAAGATCGTTTGGTATTACGATAACATCTTTGCTAATACAATGTATTTTTGCATCTAAATCTTTATCAATTTGATCCAGATCTCTATTCAGCTTTAAGGTCTTCATACATCCCATTTGGTTGATGCATTATATCCTAATTTGCATAGATTGATGCTCATGATGTCAATCACTGGATTGTCTGGTCCAGACTATTATATACAGACCGCCCTCATATAGCGGGAATATTGCTGAGTGTGGCGTTAAACAACAAACAAACAAAAGCAAAATCTTATGTCACAAAAACATCATTTTAATAATTAATACTGTTTAAATTCCAGACTATGTTGTTGCTGAGTGTATGACCAAGTTCATCCCTGTCCAGGACAATTTCGACTTTCAGAGGGTAAACAGAACAAGCATATTATCCAAGAGTAACTGTAACCTTTATATGGATACGAACTCTTGAAGATCCGGGTTAGAATTGATCTTCAGTGACCCATGCTTGTCGTAAGGTGCGACTAACGGGATCGGTGGTCAGGCTCGTGGACCTGGTTGATACGTGTCATCGTATCCAAATTGCGTAGATTGATGCTCATACTGTTGATCACTGGATTATCTGGTCCAGACTCGATTATTTACAGACCGCCGCTATATAGCTGGAGTATTGCTGTGTGCGGCTTAAAACTAAACTCACTCACTATATGGATATGATGCAAAGAATAAACAAAGCAATTGTCAGGATATGATCCATAAAGTAAACAAAACCATTCTGTGAATATTATTCAGAGTAAACAAAGCCTTCAGCTGCACATGATCCAAAGAGGTGAAGAGAGTCAACTGAGCCAGTCAGCTATCCTTCATGGAAATGATCCAACGTGGGACCTAATTCTTCAAATATAAATGTTATTTGTATCATTGCTATCAGTAAATGAAAACTAAATAAAATTGCATGGAGAAAGAAGCTGTTGAACGTTAGTAACAAATGTCTGTTGTCAGTTCTCCGGTTCATGGCACACAATTGCCAAGACACAGCACATCTGGGGGAATCAGTCGTGGGCGTCGGAGCTGCGGGACTTCCATGTCAGCCCAGATGGCCGCCTTATGTGTTACTACAGGGGATACAGTAAGTATTTGTGTGTTACTACAGGGGATCTAAGTATTTGTGTGTGTGTTACTACAGGGGATCTGAGTAAGTATTTGTGTGTTACTACAGGGGATCTGAGTAAGCAAGTGTTTGTGTGTTACTACAGGGGATGAAGTAAGTATTTGTGTTACTACAGGGGATCTGCATTTGTGTGTAAGTATTTGTGTGTTACTACAGGGGATACAAGTAAGTATTTGTGTGTTACTACAGGGGATACGAGTAAGTATTTGTGTGTTACTACAGGGGATACGAGTAAGTATTTGTGTGTTACTACAGGGGATACGAGTAAGTATTTGTGTGTTACTACAGGGGGTAATACGTGTTTACTACAGGGGATACGAAGTATTTGTGTTACTACAGGATAAGTATTTTGTGTGTTACTACAGGGGATACAGTAAGTATTTGTGTGTTACTACAGGGGATACAAGTAAGCATTTGTGTTACTACAGGGGATACAGTAAAGCATTTGTGTTTAGGGGATACACAGGTGGATACTGAGTACAGTATTTGTGTGTTACTACAGGGGATACAGTAAAGTAAGTATTTGTGTTACTACAGGGGATACAGTAAGTATTTGTGTGTTACTACAGGGGATACTGAGTAAGTATTTGTGTTACTACTACAGGTAAGCATTTGTGTAAGTATTTTTGTGTTACTACAGGGGATACAAGTAAGTATTTGTGTTACTACAGGGGATACAAGTAAGTATTTGTGTTACTACAGGATATAATGAGTAAGTATTTGTGTGTTACTACAGGGTGATACTAAGGGGATAGTATTTGTGTGTTACTACAGGGGTATACAGGGTGTGTTACTACAGGGGATACAAGTAAGTATTTGTGTGTTACTACAGGGGATACAAGTAAGTATTTGTGTGTTACTACAGGGGATACAAGTAAGTATTTGTGTGTTACTACAGGGGATACAAGTAAGTATTTGTGTGTTACTACAGGGGATACAAGTAAGTATTTGTGTGTTACTACAGGGGATACAAGTAAGCATTTGTGTGTTACTACAGGGGATACAGAGTAAGTATTTGTGTGTTACTACAGGAGATACGAGTAAGTATTTGTGTGTTACTACAGGGGATACGAGTAAGTATTTGTGTGTTACTACAGGGGATACGAGTAAGTATTTGTGTGTTACTACAGGGGATACAAGTAAGTATTTGTGTGTTACTACAGGGGATACAAGTAAGCATTTGTGTGTTACTACAGGGGATAACAATGTTAAGGGGCATTTGCAGGAGATACTGAAGTAAGTATTTGTGTGTTACTACAGGAGATTCGAGTATATTTTTGACACAAACAAATAAGAAATTAAGCATTTGTGTGTTACTACAGGGGATCTGAGTAAGTATTTGTGTTGTTTACTACAGGAGATAAGAGTAAGTATTTGTGTGTTACTACAGGGGATACGAGTAAGTATTTGTGTGGTAATACAGGGGATACAAGTAAGCATTTGTGTGTTACTACAGGGCTAGTTTTTTGTTTTGCATGTTCGTTTTTGTAATGTGGTATATGTGGAATGGTGTATATTTTCAGCAAAGATGTTCATGGCTGCCGCCCCACAGAGTTCATACAACTGACGGACACGTCGACACCCGGACACTTCACCTACGTTTTCCGGAATATGGAAGGTATGAGTTATATATATATGTGTTTCACGTCTCATGCTGCCGATGTGATGCTAAATATTAACTCACTCACTCACTCACTCACTCACATCTCCTGCTGGGCCCATTTTATCATTATCCTGAACATATGAAATCAAGAGGTTTAAGTCTTGCACTTGCTAAACTCTTCATGTACAAGGTAAATCAGACCATGGACACATTTTAAGTTTAGCTTGAACGTAAGAATCATTCCGTTAGTCAGTTAGTCAACATCAGTCAGAGGGTACCCGTCAGTTAGTGAGTCACAGTAAGTCAGTCACAGTAAGTCAGTTAGTGAGTCACCATCAGTGAGTCACATTAAGTAAGTCACCAGGAGTCACAGTAAGTCGGTTAGTGAGTCACCATCAGTAAGTGAGTCACATCAAGTCAGTCACCGTGAGTCACAGTAAGTCAGTGAGTCACCATCAGTAAGTGAGTCACACACAGCATTGTTCATGACGTCACATCACCATGACAAAGTGATATTTTGCCCATCCCAAAAATATGAACCCAAATATTTTCACTCTCGTAGGTAATAAAAGCACTTATTTCAGCGACTTTGAGTCAGTGAGTGTGTTTACTTTTACACCGCACTCAGCAATTTTTCCAGCTATGTGTCGGCGGTCTGTGTAAATGATCGAGTCTGGACCAGACAATCCAGTGATCAACAGCATAAGCATCGATCTGCGCATTTGGGAACCGATGACAAGTGTCAACCAAGTCAGCGAGCCTGACCACCCAATCCCGTTAGTCGCCTCTTACGACAAGCATGGGTTACTGAAGGTTCATTCTAACCCAGACCTTCACGGGTTTCAGCGACTTTGAAGGTCATCTACACAGACTACACTAATGCAGTGGTTTACTGGTGCCTGGGAACGAAACCTGATGGCACCTGTGAGGACAACAAGATACAGGTGGAGATAATATCGAAAAACTTGCGAGTTGATCGTGAAACTCGGACACAGATGGAAACCTACATCCGACATGGATGCGTCCGCCTTCATGACATGCAGGACAGTGACCTTGGTGAGTGACATGGAATGTATATACTTTATTTCATCCTGTTATACCCGAGTATCAAACAGAAGATACACATATAATGTTTGTATCAGAGACCATATATGGTCTCTGGTGGTATCAATAGATATTACTACACTATTCACTATTTTCTACCTTTTCACAAAACAGATTGTTATTGTTATGCGAAGTGTTTATTTATCTGCACAACATCTTACACAACAGATAATTGCTATCAAATGTTTAGTGGTATAGTTTGACATGCAAATTGTTTAAAAATATATGTTCAGTTTTTCAGGAAGTTTCTTTAGCCATCATGTATCGACTGGCATATATTTTGGGGATGGGGTGGATATGGAATATAGATTTTTTAAAAGAGCTCCAAAAATATGTCCAGCCGATCTTGAGCACTGCTAGTGTGCAAGTGAGCTGTGCAGCTTATCGGAACCTTTGAAAGTTTAAGGTGAGCTACACTGCTTATCTTGGGCTTTGTAAGTAGAAGGTGAGCTATGCAGATTCTCTGGAGCCTTGTAAATTAAAGGTGAGCTATGCAGCTTCTCTGAAACTTTAAAAGTTGAAGGTGTGCAACACAGCTTATCTAGAACGTTGTAAGTTGAAGCTTATCTAAGGCTTTGAAAATGAAATTGACCAATGGAGCCCTGTTGTTGCTGCTCACTGATGCTGATTCTGTTTACAGACCTGTGTCAGATCCCAAGCTCCATCAGTCAAGCTGCCTTGGCTGGCAGAATCTCGGCAGGTGAGTTTGGCTGGCCTGTTGACATTTTCTGTGTCTGTTTACATTTTAGATCACCTAGCTATTTAGATCAGGTGAATTTGGAGATCAGGGTACAGTTATGGATTGATTTGTCGTACTTCTCAATTAGTTCCTGATAGAATGTGAATTAGTTTGTGAATGCAGCTGCCATGACAGACTCATGGCTGAAGTTGTTGTTTCAGACTACATCAAGGTGCAGTGCATGGACGAGTTCATCAACGCCCAGCGGAACTTTGACATGAATAGGGTGAGTGTTTCAGAGTTGTCTCCCCTTGTATGTAAAACATGACGTTTACCTTGACTGGTAAAACTCTATGTAACATGCGTTTTGTCTGTGTTGCTGAGATGTAGTTGAGAGTTATCTGCCCTTGTTCTCCAGTTCAGCGGAGACTGGTACACAGTTGCCACGACCCGCTTCATCTGGGGTGGCAGCACCTGGGACAACTTCCGCAGGCGGATACAGATCCTGGATGACGGCTCCAACGTCATGGCCTACACCGGATACAGGTGAGTCCTCCACGTTTTCCACTGGTACCAGCTTGCTGGTTGTGGACTAGATGAACACCTCCATCATGGCCTACACCGGATACAGGTGAGTCCACTGGATACAGGTGAGTCCTCCACGCAGGTGAGTCTTCCACTGGTACCAGCTTGCTGGTTGTGGACTAGATGAATACCTCCATCATGGCCTACACCGGATACAGGTGAGTTTTCCACTGGTACCAGCTTGCTGGTTGTAGACTAGATGAACACCTCCATCATGGCCTACACCGGATACATAGAGAATCTCACCCAAGTGTCTTTTGATATCAAATATATCACAACGAGTTGATATTTGAGAGTGAGATTCTATTTATCATCAAAAATCACTCTTCTTTAGTTTTCAATGAAAAAAGTACATCTCTGAACACGGTTCTGCCATTAGACTTGCAGTGCAGCGATGTCATAGCATTGTGATATCATCAAGTTCATGACATCATAGCATCGTCAGGGCATGTACAAAACCACCACCTGACCACCAAGAAATGATATACAACTTTATGAATACCATCAAGTCACAGAGTCACTCCATCACCATGACAAAGTACCTATAAAATGTTTCTGTCTTTGGACTGTTGTTCAGAACGGCTCATGATTTACAACCAGAACATGACACATTTAATCTAACAGACAATTTGGAAAAATGTTCCAAATTTTATTCAAGTACCCCGTAGTAAGTATATGGTAGTGCATGGTCAGTTCATGATCCTGTTCCTCTGTTTCACAATTCTCTTGTGCTAAGTTTGCTGTATGGTCCTGCAATATGTCATAGGTGGCTTGTATAGAACAAATATCATCTACAAGGCTTCACTTCTACTCACAAACAATGGGGTCCTGGGGACCCTCTATTATTAGTTTTTGGGGTCCTTACAGGCAAAACGAGGGTCTTGTGCAGTAACGGTGTAGAGAACTGTATGTTTTGATCATTTCTGTAGAGCCTTGATCAATTGAATCATTGATCATGTGGACTAATGGGTGAAATGATTCTCGTTACTGCTCTGAATGAAACAAACAACCAAACGCTTAGCAAAGTCATAGATGTGTTGGGGTACAGTGAATAATATTGTGCATCCCTCTGGATGCAATGACTTTTTTTCTGCGTCCATTCTGACATTTGTGCATACTAGACGCACATTTGCACATTGCATAAAACCCTGCATCTGATTATTACCAGATTGATAAACACTGCAAACTTTGGAGATGTCTTTCAATATTAATTTGCTATTATTGCCTCCTGGCCTGATGAAAATAATAATTTTTGTGTTAGGTTAAGGTGACAGCGTAGTGTCACACCATACGCTGACACACTTTCTTTCAGCATTCACATGCACACAAACTCTGTATAAATGTGTGTTGTGTATGTTCAGGACTTATGGGGCATCGTGTGCACGAGCTACTTCAGTGGAGCTAACGCAACGTGGTCAACCTGGACATTTTGTCTTCTTCGATGGAGAGAAAGAAGGTAAGATAGCTCTTACTGTGCATGTAGCCTCAGTTGTCTGTATCTGATGTTCTGGCCACCATAGTCCTTTGGTATGTATTGGGTTGAATTTGATGTAATCATGCATAACATATAGTGACTGCTTTAAGTACTAGTGAGTCTAAACTTTTGATGGGTAGTATAAGTCGAATATCACTAATAATAATTTGTCCATTTTAGAAGTGTTTCAGTACACTTGGGTGAGTGATATTTACAAATGTTTCAGTGATAATTATGATTGTTTCTGTGATAATTATGATTGCTTCCATGATAATTGTGATTGTTTCCGTGATAATTATGATTGTTTCCATGATAATTATGATTGTTTCCATGATAATCATGATTGTTTCCATGATAATTATGATTGTTTCCATGATAATTATGATTGTTTCAGTGATAATCACGATTGTTTCCATGATAATCATGATTGTTTCCATGATAATTATGATTGTTTCCATGATAATTATGATTGTTTCCATGATAATTATGATTGTTTCCATGATAATTATGATTATTTCAGTGATTCCATGATAATCATGATTGTTTCCAATTGTGATTGTTTCCAGTGATAATCAATGATTGTTTCCATGATAATTATGATTGTTTCCATGATATAATTATGATTATTTCAATGATAATCATGATTGTTTCCATAAATCATGATTGTTTCATGATAATTATGATTGTTTCCATGATAATTATTTCAGATTGTTTCCATGATAATTATGATTGTTTCCATGATAATTATGATTGTTTCCATGATAATTATGATTGTTTCAGTGATAATCACGATTGTTTCCATGATAATTATTGTTTCCATGATAATTATGATTGTTTCCATGATAATTGTGATTATTTCAGTGATAATCACGATTGTTTCCATGATAATTATGATTGTTTCCATGATAATCATGATTGTTTCCATGATAATTATGATTGTTTCCATGATAATCATGATTGTTTCCATGATAATTATGATTGTTTCAGTGATAATCAATTGTTTCCATGATTTATTGTTTCCAGTGATTCCATGATAATCATGATTGTTTCCATGATAATCATGATTGTTTCCATTTCCATGATTATCAGTGATTGATTGTTGATAATTATGATTGTTTCCATGATAATTATGATTGTTTCCATGATAATCACGATTGTTTCCATGATAATTATGATTGTTTCCATGATAATTATGATTGTTTCCATGATAATCATGATTGTTTCCATGATAATTATGATTGTTTCCATGATAATTATGATTGTTTCAGTGATTATCATGATTGTTTCAGTGATAATCATGACTTTTGGTGATAATCATGATTGTGTCAGTGATTATCATGATTGTTTCAGTGATAATCATGACTTTTGGTGATAATCATGATTGTGTCAGTGATAATGATTGTTTCAGTCACAATGCTAATTTTTCAGTGACAATGCGGGTCGTGTACACAGACTATGAGGTAGCGGTTCTGTACACGTGCTATGGCATCGGGGCTGACGGCATATGTCTGCGCAACAAGCTGATTGTGGAGGTGTTGTCTCGGGAGAAGGGGATCGAGGACGCCACCCTGACCAGCATGTACTTCTACGTCTCCAACCTTTGCGTGGAGATCGACGACCTGGCCGTTTCCAACTATGGTGAGCAGCTGAGGAAACGTCCCTACGATGCCAACACGATAGTTATAAACAACATTTGTATCAGGATTTTTAATATTTCTTGTGTAAAATGTTCCTGTTGTGAGTCTGTGAATGTTTAAGACACAGGCAGCAATATCCTAGAAATGTCACAGTTCGATGACGTAAACGTCAGCTGTGTTTGTGTTTAATGCCCCACTCAGCAATATTCCAGCTACATGGTGGTCGTCTGTAATTAATACTTCACGAGACAATCCAGTGATCAACAGCATGAGCATCAATCGGGATACGATGACATGTGCAGAGGGATACAGGAAGCTTGCTGATGGTAGAGCAATGTGGCTGTGCTGCCTAAAACACCTGATCAGCAGATCCTGACTGTCAACAACAATGTTGACAAGATAGTCTAGATGAGATGTCCTTAAATAGGACAAAACTCACTAATGAAAAAGACAATAACTCTTTACAGACAGTTACAACTTTGGTAAAACATTGTGTGAGAGAAAGGCAATCTCCAAAGTATGTGAGTTAGGGGTGACTATTGAGGGGGAAACAACTATTGCGATAGGTATTGCCTATTGCAACATACTATTGTTTTAGTGATAGTCTATTGCAGCCATTGCAATACTATTGAGACAATTAAATGAGACAATTCAAGGAGAAAAAAACTAATGCAAATAGTTTTTTTTTTCTCCTTGAATTGTCTCATTTGAAGTCATTTCCCAAATGAATGTATAGTTAATATGAAATAAAAACAAGCTGAAGTAGTTTCAGTCTCTTTAAATAACTGACAAGAAACTTGAAACCCAGATCAAGTAAACAGTTAAAACATAAACTCAGTGAAGCTGCAAGTCTCCACCCAGACATCCTGTTTTTTGCGCCGCACGTTTATCAACGGAAGTCAATTACTAACCTATCGGTAGTCACACATACTATCGATGCATCAATAGTTTTTCATTTCTACCATCGATTAATTGCTATCGGAGACTCAACAATTGCGATAAATTGATAGTTCGATGCATCGTTACAGCCCTAATATGAGTGCAGGGTAATACTGATACTCTGCTGTTGTACATTGTCTCCTGCTGCTCGGACCACATTCCTCTGATTGGCCAACGCTTGTAAATTTGCACATTCTTCATAAATTCGCGGGAATATTTACTTTCATCGACTGCTTGACTTGGAGGAAATGTAAGATTTTTTTCCAGCAATGGCTTCTTAAAAGAATGCATCAGTTTTAAATGTCTCCTTAACAAACATCAACCAACCAGAGGGCTTGCTTCGACCACACCCCCGTTTTGTGCGGACACATGTGTCAAGATCGTTTAGTTAAGAGTCAAAATCAGGTTTCAATCGACTTGGAGAAATAACAATAAAGAATTGGTAGGTGTCATCAGTGGTGCTCGATAGGCCAATCATCCATGATTATATTTACATTAAGGTTTAATCGATCGAATGGGATGGTAGCGTAGCGATCAGCAAAACAGGCGGGTGGGGTGCACCGAAGTTTCCAGCCTTGTGAAGCATTTCGAGTCGGGGATCATCTCAAAAACAATATTTTTAAAATGTTTAATCTTCGCAAAGACACGAGGGCCTGTGACTCGGACCCACAACTGAAGTAAGGAGACCTCATCACTTCAATATCATGTCTGCTGTTTCAGATCTGTGCGAGGCCCCGGAGGTTGACGAAGACTCGATCCAGCGGAAGGTCTGCACCTTCGACGACATCCCTCTCACTCGGCACTTCGTCTTCCTGCAGGTAATGTGCTCACACGGATGATGCTGCAGTCAATGAATGTTACTTATGATGAAGTCAGACATATTCCAACTGTATACTGGTGGATCCTTTGGGGCTTCTGGATTCAGCCGGGGACCCTGATACTAGGGTGAATGGTGGAGCTGTACATGTCTGTGTGATTGCTGAGCTGGAGATGTGTTTGTGTCAGATTTTTTAGCCGTTGACATGCTTGTGATCCTATTGCATGGTTCTTGTCGGATGGTTGAACTGTACATGTTTGTTGTCAGGTGGTTGAACTGTACGTTTGTTGTCAGGTGGTTGAACTGTACATGTTTGTTGTCAGGTGGTTGAACTGTACATGTTTGTTGTCAGGTGGTTGAACTGTACATGTTTGTTGTCAGGTGGTTGAACTGTACATGTTTGTTGTCAGGTGGTTGAACTGTACATGTTTGTTGTCAGCTGGTTGAACTGTACATGTTTGTTGTCGGGTGGTTGAACTGTACATGTTTGTTGTCAGGTGGTTGAACTGTACATGTTTGTTGTCAGGTGGTTGAACTGTACATGTTTGTTGTCAGGTGGTTGAACTGTAGATGGTTGTTGTCAGCTGTCTGTACATGTTTGTTGTCAGTGGTGAACTGTACATGTTTGTTGTCAGGGGTTGGTTGAACTGTACATGTTTGTTGTCAGGTGGTTGAACTGTACATGTTTGTTGTCAGGTGGTTGAACTGTACATGTTTGTTGTCGGGTGGTTGAACTGTACATGTTTGTTTGGTTGTTGAACTGTACATGTTTGGTTGAACTGTACAACTGTACATGTTTGTTGTCAGGTGGTTGAACTGTACATGTGTTTGTTGTTGGTTGTCAGGTGGTTGAACTGTACATGTTTGTTGTCGGGTGGTTGAACTGAACATGTTTGTTGCTGTCAGGTGGTTGAACTGTACATGTTTGTTGTCAGGTGGTTGAACTGTACATGTTTGTTGCTGTCTGTACATGTTTGTGTCAGGTGGTTGAACTGTACATGTTTTTGTTGTCGCATGTGGTTGAACTGTACATGGTTGTTGTTGTCAGGTTGGTTGAACTGTACATGTTTGTTGTCAGGTGGTTGAACTGTACATGTTTGTTGTCAGGTGGTTGAACTGTACATGGTTGTTGTCAGGTGGTGGTTGAACTGTACATGTTTGGTTGTCAGGTGGTTGAACTGTACATGTTTGTTGTCAGGTGGTTGAACTGTAGATGTGTTTGTTGTCGGGTGGTTGAACTGTACATGTTTGTTGTCAGGTGGTTGAACTGTACATGTTTGTTGTCGGTGGTTGAACTGTACATGTTTGTTGTCGGGTGGTTGAACTGTACATGTTTGTTGTCAGGTGGTTGAACTGTACATGTTTGTTGTCAGGTGGTTGAACTGTACATGTTTGTTGTCAGGTGGTTGAACTGTTCATGTTTGTTGTCGGGTGGTTGAACTGTGCATGTTTGTTGTCGGGTGGTTGAACTGTACTGTCATGTTTGTTGTCGGGTGGTTGAACTGTACATGTTTGTTGTCGGGTTGGTTGAACTGTACAACTGTGCATGTTGTCGGGTGGTTGAACTGTGCATGTTTGTTGTCGGGTGGTTGAACTGTGCACGTTTGTTGTCGGGTGGTTGAACTGTGCACGTTTGTTGTCGGGTGGTTGAACTGTGCACGTTTGTTGTCGGGTGGTTGAACTGTGCACGTTTGTTGTCGGGTGGTTGAACTGTGCACGTTTGTTGTCGGGTGGTTGAACTGTACATGTTTGTTGTCAGATAGTTAAACTGTAGGTGGTTGACGTGTTTGTTGTCGGGTGGTTGAACTGATGGAACTGTATATGTTTGTTGTCAGATGGTAGGCCTGTGGTACGAGGTGGCGCGGACTCGCTTCACCTTCAATAAGATGGAATCCAGTGTGTTGTTCTACAGGTATCAAAATGGTCACCTTGACGGCCTCTACACCGGCAGCATGTAAGTCTCCAACACATCACCAACACATTATGAGTTTGTGCACACCATGTTCCTCCTTAACTTTGAATACATACAACTGTCCAATGTAATATCTCCCTTTATCCAACCAATCAAGACACTGATTGGTTCCAGTGAGTGGTCCAGCCAATGATCTCTTTACACTGTATGTGCTTTACCCATCTACACCACTCTTTGCTACATGATGTTAGTCACTGGATTGTCTGGTTCAGACCTCCATCACATGGCTTGAATTTGTTTTTTTCGTGAAGATTTTTATTATTGCCAAACTCCCTGGTAATTTTGAGACATACATCCAGGGGAAACTCTCTCCCTCACTCACTCACTCACTCTAAAGCACAAAGACCAACTCAACCACTCACTCACTGTTTCAGGAAGGGCTTCTGCCAGGACCCTCTGTCCAGTCTGACTAAACTCCACTCAAGGAATGAGCCTGATGCTTATCTTCTCGGACGCCTCGGTGGGAAAGACAGTGTCTACCCCTGGTGTAAGTGTAGCAGTTACTTCCCCTACAGCACAGTTTAGCCTACGTGTAGAGTTACTTCCCCTACAGCACAGTTTAGCAGAGTTACTTCCCCTACAGCACAGTTTAGCAGAGTTACTTCCCCTACAGGACAGTTTAGCAGAGTTACTTCCCCTACAGCACATGGTAGCAGTTATTTTCCCAACCACACAGTATAGCAGAGTTACTTCGCCAACAGCACAGTTTAGCAGAGCTACTTGCCCTACAGCACAGTTTAGAAGAGTTACTTCCCCTACATCACAAAGTTATGTTTCCTACATCACAGTCTTAAACAATTATATTCATACATCACAAGGTAGAGATAGTTTCCCTAAGAGCTCAAATTTGCTTCACCAACAACACTTTGTGGCAGAGTTACTTACCCTACAGAACAGAGTATCCGAGAGTTACCTCCCTTGCAGAAATTCCTTTGTGGGAACTGATAAGAGAGAAAAGACACTACTGTCAAATGTTTAAACTTAATGATGAAGTGTTTTTTCAATATTGACAAATAAAGTACACATACAACTGAAATGTACAGCATTTTGAACAAATCAATTTTTTTTTGTGAAAATGGTCATGTATTTTCAATGGACTGAAGTGTGGGACAGGTAGAGCATAAAAAAAATATTATCAACCAGAAACATGCTCTAAATCTCGGCAAACTACAAAGTGTCGCACAATGGTTCTTGTTGCAGTCAGCTTCAAGATCATCCACTTCGATGGCCAGTACCTCATGTACTACGCCTGCTACACCACCAGCGACGACGGGACGTGTCCACGAGACAAGATGGAGGTCACACTTCTCGGGCGTGAACAGGGTCTCAGTGATGAGATCAAATCTAAGATCCCGGATCTCATGAGAGGCGTATGTCTCAAGCCAGCCGACCTTGTCACATCCAAGGCTAGTGGTGAGTTGGGATACATTGTATGCACACGGGAACCAGTGGTGTTTGGGGTCAGGACTGGGCCTCAGTTTTTGTTTTCCACAAAATCGTCGCTCAAAATCACACTTTCTTTAACCAAAAGATGCCAAACCATTTTCTTAAAGCCTCCACATATTGTTCAGAACATAACAGTAAACTAGGGTGATAGTGAATTTAAAGGAACCTCTAATGTTTTAGTTCATTATTCAAATGTTTACACAGACTTCACACATTGTACCCATGAGGTGAATCGAACCCGGGTTGTTGGTGTGACGAGCGAACTCTAACCACAAGGCTACCCCACTGCCCCTCATATACAGCAAGTGGTTGGTACAATCACTTCATTTTGAGCTGGGCCGTTCTAGACACAGATTATGTTTATGTTTATGTTTATGTGTGTTCTGTCTTTTTTACGGGCAGTCATATAAACAGATAGTCTCGGATTCACTGATATTGCTTCTTGATGCTATTTTACCTGACCGGTGGGGTGCAGTCATTGACAGTTATAACAGGGGGGTGGAGTAGCAGATATTTGTCATCATGTTATTCACCCTGATTCCAAACATTGTGCTGTCCTTGATGTTGGAATATTGCTATTTTACCTGACTAAAAAAGTGAGATTTATCTACTTTGTCCATGACTCATCATGCAGTTTATGTATAACATGGAAGCTTGTTCTTTCAGTGGACTGCACCAGCTACCATTATATTTGACAGGGGGTGGGTGGGGTAGCCTAGTGGTTAAAGTATTTGCTCATCATGCTATACACCCTGGTTTGATTCCCCGCATTGGTACAGTGTGTGATTCTGATTTCTAGTGTCCTGCGATGTGATATTGTTGGAATATTGCTAAAAGCGGCATTCAACTGTACTTACTCTCACTGAATATTTGATATCTAAAAAAGTGAGATTTATCTACTTTGTCCATTACTCATCAGTGTGATTATGGAATAACATGGAAGCTTGTTGTTTCAGTGGACTGCACCAGCTACCTGTTTCCCGACTCCCACAAATCCCCAGCAGGTTAGTCACTCTCTACCATATTTCACTGCAGCATGTGATGTATACTTTCAGCAGTGGCAATATTCCATATTTTTTTGAGTGAAGATTTTTAGTCAACGCCGGGGATTGTCTGTCTGTCCGTCCGTCTGTCCATCCGTCATCATTTTGTTTCCGGAGCATTACACAAAAACCGTTTTCAACAAAAATTGGTAGATATATCAAACAGAACCTAAAGCTGTACCTTTTGCCATTTACAGATTTTTGTCATTTTTATTTTTCTTGGTTTCCATGGAAACGATTTGATCTTAGTCTCAAAAAGGAGGGTTGACCTTCGTTTCCGGAGCACAAGTTGAAAACCTTTCAATATCTTTCAACGAAACATGACACATATATGAGGTAGATCCCAAAGTGGTGCCTTTTGCTATTTTTGGCTTTTATATTTTTTATGTTTTCCATGGATTTGGACTTAGTCTAAAAAAAATCAAGTTGGATTTAAAGTAACTGTCAGATGATTTGTTCTTTCAAAAACTTAAGTTTAATCATGTAAATTTACTCGAATTCGCCTGAGGGGACACAAATGTAGTTTATAGTTTTAAAACTTGAAAAAATATTTCTCCAAAACCCTAAATTCCCTAGAGGGTTTATGCATTTTTCAATTTTATGGACTGTACTTAAACAAAGGTACTCTGGGTGCCGTTGTACAAAGCAGGAAATGCATGATGTTTTGTGTGTAAAATATATATGCTACTTTTAAGCATGAACCCCTCCAACGATTTCTAGTATCTGAAATGGTGGATGAAAATGTTTTGGAGGATGCATAGTCTACTATTAACTGGTGGCAGTAATTAAGTTTGTTTTTTTGCTCTTTAACGCCACACTCAGCAATATTCCAGATGCATGGCTGCAGTTGGGGGGTTGTACAGTGTTCGCCTCTTATGTCAAGCATGGGTTGTTGAAGACATATCTAACCGGGTCTTCACAGGTTGATGACTGTGGACAGACTTGGCAGTCACACTGTCATTAAGTATCTCCAACTGACGGCAAACTCCAAGAGTCATCCAGCAGACCTCAGGTCAACTTGAGGCTGTGATGCTCCACTCTTTGTAACTGTTAAAAGTTGTTCCAAAGAGAGGAAAATAGAGAGGTCCGAAGATGATGCAAGATAAGACCTTCACATAAAACCATTACGAAAAATGTAACTACACAAGCAGATCAAGATGACTGATGTCTCACGTAAACATACAATACAGTAGGCATCTCTCTGAAAACATCAACTGGTGCCCTATGGTCTAAATTAGGTTCTTGTTTCCAGGCTGATGACGTAAACAAGAAGTGCTCTCTCTTGGCGGAGATGGCCGTTGCTGAGGATATTGAAGACAGAACTGTTAGTGGTTATACATTATCCAATAATTGGAAATCATTTATGGGAGTGAGTGAGTGAGTGGGTTTTATGCCGCTTTTAGCAATATTTCAGGAATATCATGGCGGGGGACACCACAAATGACCTTCAACCGTGATGTGTGATCACTTCAGCATAGCTGTCTGCTTTGGAGTTTTCTTCACCTGATGAGGTGTGGTGGGGTGGCCTAGTGGTTAAAGCGTTCACTCGTCACACCGAAGACCCGGGTTCGATTCCCCACGTGGGTACAATGTGTGAAGCCCATTTCTGGCGACATCCCCTGAGATATTGCTGGAATATTGCTAAAAGTGGCGTAAAACTAAACTCACTCACTGCACCTGATGAAGGAGTAAGAATATACTCCAATGTGTCATGTCCCTCATATTAGAGAAGCTGACATCCATAATTTGTAACCCTTAGACCGCCAGAACAGCCAAGTAATCAACAGGAGTGTTACGTGTGCAGTGAAATTTCAATTTCACATGTAAAACTCGCACACCTGGCTGTTCTACCAGCAAGTTGTCCCCCCTTGTAAAAAATAGAGAAAAGTGACAAGAAAATAATGATCGTTTGTTAAACAACTTTTTTATTCGGTTGTTCAAAATTATGAGACAAATCATCACAGTTGGTTTGTCGATTTCATGTGACTCTGCAAACTTTGGTTTTGTTGCACCTATTAGATTTTGTGTCAGTGAACGATTCTTCGGTCTCAAATGGAATCAAATGGACTGTAGTCTGTTCCCAACTTATATCCAAAACATTCCATTCTTCTGCCACATACAATTATAGATCAGGGGTTATGTGGCCTTCATCCTCACAGCTGATGACTGTAGACACCTCTAGAGTCCAAATCAGCAAGTCTCCTAAATACAGAATCATTTCTTTCTGCATATCAGGTCTTAGGCATTTTGTTAGGCATGTGTAATTAATTTCTTTAGGGAAAACTAACATTTGAAAAGTATATGAGACTAATGAAAGTCCTGATAATTATGTTTCTCATTATAACGATACAGTATCCTTATGAGACAGGTGCTTGTATTCTATTGACATAAAGACAGTAATTGACACCCCTGCAGGACAAGTTTTCGACCCCTGCAGTGTCTTACATTTCTTCATATACATGTCTACTGTAAATCATGAAATTAATGCGAGCATTTTATTAATGTGCAAAATGCGTCTGTACTCTTCTCGCATTATTATAATGACGCATTTCAGTCTGACCATGTCTACTTTTGAGAACTTTAAAAATTAAAAGACAGAAAACGTAAATCTGTTGACACTACACATTACAGCAATACAGGTCACTTCCTCATTACAGAGTGAAAAGAAAAAGAACACCAAAGATTCAGGATGTCACATTTTATCATCAACACAGATTCCTGAGCTCCCATTAATTTCGTGACGCATTTTAGACTAGACCCTTGCACTCGCATTAAATTCGTGACGCATTAATTTCATGATTTACAGTATATTTTAACCCGACCATCGGGCGGGTGAATTTGAGAATCTGGCAGTCCATGTTGAAAATAACCCTTCCTGGGCGGTCGGGCAGGCAGGTATTTCGAACGCTGTTAATCGTGACATGACTTATCCCACTAGTTACTCATTTTCTGTTGAGTGAACAGGGGCAATTTTGATCATACTCACTTGCCTAAGGTGAGACCAAATGTATCACATGTGCTGCGTTGTGGGGCAGGACTGAAGTCCTAGAAACTCTCAGGAGTCAAGCTGCCAACCACAGGCACAAATCCATCTTGCCCAGTTTAAGAAAGTGTGGTTTTACCATAGTAACTGTTTTCTATAAACAGACCTACCTTTAACTATAGTCTGGCAGAAAACTTTTTGGGATGGTGTTTGGTCACTTTACTCAAAAACTACAAGTACAATTGTTTTATAATTTAGCATGATACATTATAATTGTTCTACCATTGTGAATTTTGAATTTCATGAATTATGATTTATTAATAAAAAAGTTGTTTAACAAATTATCATTAAGATATTGACACATTTCACTATTTGTTACGAGGGAGGAGTGCAGAGAGAGAAACAGCCAGGTGTGCGAGAAAGGTTCAGCACAGGTAAATGAATCAATAGCACACCTGGGTGTTCCTCTCCCTGCACTCATGCCAAATTAGAAAACGATTGTACTTGTAGTCTTTGAGTAAAGTGACCAAACACCGTCACAAAAAGTTTTCTGCTGGACTGTAATTGTGATTGTTTGCAGTTGGTGGGGAAGTGGCACAGTGCTGTTGACATTGGCTTCGGCATGGGAGGAAAGTCCCACTCATTCAATGTGACCATCAGGCGACATACTGACAAGACATTCAAGATGGAGGTGGCACAAGGGTAAGTCTGAAGCACCGTCAGTAGGACAGAGAGCAGGTTGGTCTTCTCAAGTTAGGTGTGGTGGGGTAGCCTAGTGGGTCAAGCGTTTGCTCGTCATGCTGTCAACCCGGGTCCATTCCCAACATGGGTATAACGTGTGAAGCCCATTTCTTGTGTTCCCCACCATGATATTGCTGGAATATTGCTAAAAGCGGCATAAAATCATACTCACTCTTCTCAAGTTGAATCTGGAGTGTGAGTGAGTGATGCTTGGAACAGTTTTCTGTCATAATTTAGGGAGTAAAGTTGGTTGGTTGGTTAGTTGGTTGGTTGGTTTGTTGTTTAATGCCACACCCAGCAATATTCCAGCTACCGGTATATAGCGATGGTCTGTAAATAATCGAGTCTCGACCAGACAATCCAGTGATCAACAGCATCGATCTACGCAATTGGGATACGATGACAAGTGTCAACCGAGTCAGCGAGCCTGACCACCCGATCCTGCTAGTCGCCTCTAAGCATGGGTTACAGAAGACCAATTCTGACCTGGATCTTCACGGTCTAAGGGGTAAAGTGAAACAGGTTCAATCATTTGTTTCGTGCCTGTCTAACAGCAGAACTTTGCCATAGTCCAAAATAACCAGAAGACCCCAACCCCATGTTAAAATGTATGCTTTTTTTCCAGGGATGACAACAACCACTTCACCAACTACAACGTCATTCTGAAGCCTCGGTGTGACTCATTCAGCCACGGAGACTACATCAGCACGCTGGGGTCGACTGTCATGGGACAGTGGAGTATGTAGCACTCAGTAGAACAATGTTTGTAATGATATAGAGACCATAGGGTCCTGTTTAGCTCACCTGGATCAGATGGAGATGTAACATTTTCAGGTCACGTTTAGCTCTCCTGGTGAAGCTGATGTGACAATCTTTGGGCATATATAGCTCACCTGCTCAGGGTAAATGTTACATAATCTGGTCAGGTTAAGCTCACCTGGTCAAAGAGATGTAACATTCTTTGGGCACATATAGCTCACCTGAACAAGGAAATGTTGAGGACTTGCTTTTCTGTTTGTGGAGGTCACCTGAAGGTGGTGTCCAGTTATACAGTATTCACTCACTAACCCTATCATGTCATGTGTAGCTCACCTGGATACAGAATTATGACCTGCTTCTCTGTTGATGCAGGCAGCCTGAAGGTGCTCCACAATGATGGCAGCACTATGCTTCTGTACTGGTGTCTCAAGGAGCAGAGCGACGGAACGTGTCACAGCTCCGGCATCCGGGTCCTCCTCCTAGCCCGGAACCTTCCCCTCCAAGAGACCATCAAACAGAACCTTCTGGGGAAGATCCAGGATGTGTGTTTCACGCCTCCGCCTCCAACACCTGTCCTCTATGGAGTCATACCAGGAGCTGCCTTTGGTCTGAGTGAGTATTGGTAACACATATTTAATCTCTTCAAAACTTGGGTCTTTCCTCCCATATCAGTGAGTGAGTGAGTGAGTGTAGATTTAAGCCACACTCAGCAATATTCCAGGCATCTGGCAGCGGTCTGTAAATAATCGAGTCTGGACCAGACAATCCATTGATCAACAGCATGACCATCGATCTACGCAATTGGGAACCGGTGACATGTGTCAACCAAGTCAGCGAGTCTGACCACCCGATCCCGTTAGTTGCCTCTTATGACAAACATGGGTTACTGAAGACCAATTCCAACCTGGATCTTCACGGGCTGTTGATGGCATGTAACTGAACTAATGTTGAAGCAGCATTAAAACACACTCACTCACACAAACAATCTCCTATCTCAAAGGAATTAACAATCAGTTCTGAGTTCATCAGATCTTGACATTGTCTATCCATAAAAAATATTCCTCTTCATCATACCAGTTTCTAAATGCCACTTACGAAGCTCTGTATATAACAAATGCCTTTAATGAATTCATGGCCAAAGCAACAGTTTTGATTTTTACCCTGCCATTGGCTCTATATTTTGGAGAGAGCGACTAACAGGATCGGGTGGTCACCCTCTCGGACTGGGTTGACACGTCATTGTATCCCAATTGCATAGATCGATGTTCATGCTGTTGATCACTGGATTGTCTGTTTCCAGACTTGATTATTTACAGACCGCCGCCATATAGCTGGAATATTGCTGAGTGCAGCATAATACTTACTCACTCACTCAATATTTTAGTGAAAATGTGTATATTTCAGTGACACTGCAGTTAAAACTAAAATTAGCTGTCCTTTGAGTTAGTTATATCTGTAGTGTATTGTACGTGGTAATGTGTGTGAAGTGTTGTAACAATGGAATATGGTCACTGAAAGTAAAAACAGATGCTTTTTGTGATGTCATTAGGGGCAAGGCAAGGGATGGACGACCAGATAGATTATCTGACCCCTAGCATCTTCACATCGTTCTGTGCCTTTGACAACATTCCCACCATCAACATCAGCCAGGAACTGGTGAGTACATCCTTCTGTCGCAACCATCAACATCAGTGAGTACATCCTTCTGTCTCAACCATCAACATCAGCCAGGAACTGGTGAGTACATCCTTCTGTCTCCACCATCAACATGGGTGAGTACATCCTTCTGTCTCCACCATCAACATCAGTGAGTACATCCTTCTGTCTCCACCATCAACATCGGTGAGTACATCCTACTGTCTCCACCATCAATAACGGGGAGTACATCCTACTGTCTCCACCATCAACATCGGTGAGTACATCCTACTGTCTCCACCATCAATAACGGGGAGTACATCCTACTGTCTCCACCATCAACATCGGTGAGTACATCCTTCTGTCTCCACCATCAACATCGGTGAGTACATCCTACTGTCTCCACCATCAATAACGGTGAGTACATCCTACTGTCTCCACCATCAACATCGGTGAGTACATCCTACTGTCTCCACCATCAACATCGGTGAGTACATCCTACTGTCTCCACCATCAACATCGGTGAGTACATCCTTCTGTCTCCACCATCAACATCAGTGAGTACATCCTTCTGTCTCCACCATCAACATCGGTGAGTACATCCTACTGTCTCCACCATCAATAACGGGGAGTACATCCTACTGTCTCCACCATCAACATCGGTGAGTACATCCTACTGTCTCCACCATCAACATCGGTGAGTACATCCTACTGTCTCCACCATCAACATGGGTGAGTACATCCTTCTGTCTCCACCAATCAACATCAGTGAGTACATCCTTCTGTCTCCACCATCAACATCGGTGAGTACATCCTACTGTCTCCACCATCAACATCGGTGAGTACATCCTTCTGTCTCCACCATCAACAACGGTGAGTACATGCTACTGTCTCCACCATCAACATCGGTGAGTACATCCTACTGTCTCCACCATCAATAACGGTGAGTACATCCTTCTGTCTCCACCATCAATAACGGTGAGTACATGCTACTGTCTCCACCATCAACATCGGTGAGTACATCCTTCTGTCTCCACCATCAATAACGGTGAGTACATCCTACTGTCTCCACCATCAACATCGGTGAGTACATCCTACTGTCTCCACCATCAACATCGGTGAGTACATCCTTCTGTCTCCACCATCAACATCGGTGAGTACATCCTTCTGTCTCCACCATCAATAACGGTGAGTACATGCTACTGTCTCCACCATCAACATCGGTGAGTACATCCTTCTGTCTCCACCATCAACATCGGTGAGTACATCCTTCTGTCTCCACCATCAATAACGGTGAGTACATGCTACTGTCTCCACCATCAACATCGGTGAGTACATCCTTCTGTCTCCACCATCAACATCGGTGAGTACATCCTACTGTCTCCACCATCAATAACGGTGAGTACATCCTACTGTCTCCACCATCAACATCGGTGAGTACATGCTACTGTCTCCACCATCAACATCGGTGAGTACATCCTTCTGTCTCCACCATCAACATCGGTGAGTACATCCTTCTGTCTCCACCATCAATAACGGTGAGTACATCCTACTGTCTCCACCATCAACATCGGTGAGTACATCCTTCTGTCTCCACCATCAACATCGGTGAGTACATCCTTCTGTCTCCACCATCAACATCGGTGAGTACATCCTTCTGTCTCCACCATCAACATCGGTGAGTACATCCTTCTGTCTCCACCATCAACATCGGTGAGTACATCCTTCTGTCTCCACCATCAATATCGGTGAGTACATCCTACTGTCTCCACCATCAACATCGGTGAGTACATCCTTCTGTCTCCACCATCAACATGGGTGAGTACATGCTACTGTCTCCACCATCAACATCGGTGAGTACATGCTACTGTCTCCACCATCAACATCGGGTGAGTACATCCTTCTGTCTCCACCATCAACATCGGTGAGTACATGCTACTGTCTCCACCATCAACATCGGTGAGTACATCCTTCTGTCTCCACCATCAACATCGGTGAGTACATCCTTCTGTCTCCACCATCAATAGCGGGAGTATCGGTGAGTACATCCTTCTGTCTCCACCATCAATATCGGTGAGTACATCCTTCTGTCTCCACCATCAACATCGGTGAGTACATCCTACTGTCTCCACCATCAACATCGGTGAGTACATCCTTCTGTCTCCACCATCAACATCGGTGAGTACATCCTTCTCTCCACCATCAACATCGGTGATCATCATCGGTGAGTACATCCTTCTGTCTCCACCATCAATATCGGTGAGTACATCCTTCTGTCTCCACCATCAACATCGGTGAGTACATCCTTCTGTCTCCACCATCAACATCGGTGTGAGTACATCCTTCTGTCTCCACCATCAACATCGGTGAGTACATCCTTCTGTCTCCACCATCAATATCGGTGAGTACATCCTTCTGTCTCCACCATCAACATCGGTGAGTACATCCTTCTGTCTCCACCATCAACATCGGTGAGTACATCCTTCTGTCTCCACCATCAACA